CCCGTGGCAGAGTGAGAGTAACTGACAGGAGCTGGCGGAGGTCAGGTCCCAGCTCCCACTTCTGCTAGGTCCTCGGGGGTGAGGGTTGAGTTTTGCCCTAAATGCTGAGCGGATTACACTGAGGAAGGGGTGGTGAAGGGGAAGAGGGAGGTGTCAGCCTTGAGACTACCCTTCATGAAGGACACTGACCCCAGGATCTCAGACTTGCTAACGATTGTCATTTTCAAGATGGTGTCGTGGTTAAGAGGCAGCAGGAAGTTAAGGCTCAGAGAGGTTTAGGACTTGCCCAGGGTCACACAGCGACAAGTGTCAGAGCTAGGATGTGATCCTGTCATGAATCTGACACAAGACTTCCCACAAAGCTCCCCGCAGGGATTCTTGCCTGCTGGGCCTAAAAGCCCTCTATAAAGAGCCTGTCAGCTCACTGCCTGTTTTCAAAGGAGGGAAGAGAAAGGGTCGGATGTTCAGCCATGGTTTCCATCATTGGTTACTACTGTCTAGAATTCAGTGTCAGGGTGTGTGGGGCCCCGGGGAGGCGCAGTCAAACCGCACCTACCCCAAGCTCTGCCCTAATTCCTCCGCTTTCTAACCCTGGAAAGGGTAAAGGCTTCAGACCCTCTGGGGTGAATCCCCTTCGTTAGAAGGCTCCAGGTAGGTCCTGGGGGACTCGCCGAAGCCCCCAGACCCCGAGCTTAGCCTGGCCTGCCACATGGCTTGGCCTGTGGTCACCTGAAGTAATCGCGATGACAGACTTTCTATAGTTCGTTCAAACCCAGAACGACGCATTTCCCCCTTTCTAAGCATTCCGGAACCCTGTGCTACTGGCAGCCACAGAAAACCAAGCGACCCAAAGATTAAGTGACCTTGAGATTAAACCACTAGGGCCAATTCGTTAGCACAGCAAGCTCTTGGCTCAAGAAAGAAAATGACCCCCCTCAAAAAAGGAAGAACTTCCCCGCCCACTAGCAGGTTTTCCGGGGAACACTGGACCCCCAAAGAACCAATCCTGCCCCCGCAGCCCTGGGCAGGGGCCCTGTCCTCCTCCGGCTGCCCTCCACTCCTCTTCTCAAAGGAGAGGACCTGGAGGAGCACTCCCACCTACCACCCCCGCAGGAGGATGAGCAGGAGGTGCAGCTCGGCAGAACGCGGTCCTATGCAAATAAATGCAAAGTGGATGCAAATCCGAGCCTGCTCTTTCTGAGCCTCCCGTTGTCATCTGGTAGCTGAGTGGCTGTGGCCCTCCTCACGCTCTGAAGGCCACCGTCTCCTTCCAGCTTTGTGTCCGTCAAGAACAGCAAGCTCTGGCGATGGGGCAGGTGAGCAGGGCTTTGTAGAGGGCAGGGGGCTGTCCACACACTGCAGGCCTGGCCAGCCCTCAAGATGCCACATTTCCTGGGGCTCAGGCCACTGTCAGCTTCTCCTCTGCTGCCACCCCTTCTGGCCCCAGGGTGGTGCCCAAAGATATGCACCCCCAAAGCCCTAGGGAACGCCCCATCCCAAAGGCACAGTGACCCTGAATGCAAATATGCCCCCTCTTGCTAGCTGCAAGGGGTGGCTGCTGAGCCCTCACAGTGCTGAGGGTGAATCCTCCACCAGGATTTCCGAGTCTGGAGCAGCCTTGAGCCGTTTCCTGCACCAGGGAAGAGTCGAGTTGGGGAGCACCTCTGTGCATCCGGGACTGCGCCTCCAAACCACACTGAGGGCTGCTCAGACAGCGCACCTCCCTCTCCACCAAGGCCCACACAGGTTCTGTGCCTGCTGCAACTATCTTTCAAAAACATAAAGTTTCCCCTCACTCCAAGGCAAGCATCATCCAAGGCAAACAGGAGCCAGGACACTACATAGCCCTGGGCAAGAACAGGATCATTCACCAGAATGACCAGGAAAGCCAGATCCTGACACCAAAGGTGCCCTCCTAGAGGGCACGGGCATCTCCTCCGAACATTAGCCCCCCTCTAGATAAGGCTGGCTGCCGCAGACCTCAGGGTACTTCTTAGAGCTATTCGACACAGATATGGGAATGTGGGTTGATTCAGAGGCCACAGATATCTCCATAGAAACAGAATATATAAGCTGAAATCTGATCTGCCCCGGACCCCAGGACAGGAGACATCCTGTGTGACCTTGGATTTGTTCCTTAACCTCTCTGGACTTCATTTGAAAGAGAAGAAAAACCATACCTTGCAGCTTTCTCATGTGGATTATAGTATTACTTTCGTAACTAAAGCTGTGCTTTGCTGTGAACTTTCTAGGGACTAAGCATTCGGGGAAATCCTCTTATACACCGTATTTTGTTTATTCATTCTATGAGGAAAGAGAAGGTACTAGTTTTACGTCTATTCTGTATAGGAAGAAGCTCAGGCTTGTTGGGCTTAAAGCATTTACCCAGCATCTTGCAGCTAAGAAGTGGTCAGCCGCGTTCAGCCCCGGCATTTCGCCCCCAGACCTGCACTCTTCATCACTGTCTCCTGGTACCACCCTTGCTGTTCAGCATCTGGAACAGCATCAGGTACATAAAGGCGCTCAGCAAATGGCCACCTCTGTCTCCCACGCGGTGCTGTGGTCACATTGACTGTTCTTTCAAATCAACCAGCCTGTGCACCCACGTAGGTGGCTACCCACGGGCTTACTAGTTTCCTGTGGCTGCATAACAGATCACACCAAAATTCAGGAGCTTAAAATGAGACATATTTACTATTTTTTATCTTCCAGCTCAGGACGTCTCAAAGCTCCCATCCAGGTCGGGGTGGCAGTCTCGTTTGGATCTGTGCTGGGGAAGGATCCACTTCCAAACTCACTTGGCTGTTGGCGGAAGTCAGTGCTTTGCCAGCGCTGGGACTGAAGGTCAGAGTTTCTTGCTGGCTGTCAGCTGGAGACTGCTCTCAGCTCCTTGGTGCATGATCCCCTCCAAAGGCAACTCACAACACGGCCACTTACTTCATCGAAGCCAACGAGAGAGAGCGCCCTTGCTGGACAGCGTGACAGACTCACGTCATGGGATCACATACACCCCGTCTGTCGCAGGTGCCGCCCGTGCTCCAGGAGAGGGGACCACACAGGGCATTACACCGGGAGGGGACCACACCCTCCAAGAATCTGTCCACCGCAGTGTGATGTGCAGTCACAGATAATCATGTCCGCAGTTCATAAATGCAGAAAAAGAGGCACGGGCAGGGAAGCGATTCGCTCAAGACCAGCTGAGCATCAGGCATCCCTGCACCTACGCTGTTCTCTTGGGTAAACGCATCCAGTAGATGAAGGTGGTGTCTGTGGCGGAGACTCAGCATCGGCAGACCAGGACCAGAAATGCTGTCACAGCAATCAGTACCGGTCTCTGTACTCCAAGAGCAGGAGCAAGGAGGTTTGACTCCCTGCTGAGTCCCCGGCACCCAGTGGTACACACCCTGGCAGGTGCCCCGGGAGCACCCGCCAAATGAAAGGGATGGATTGGCTGGCGGCAGCAGAGGGGCTGCTTGGACTGGCTTCCACCCAATGGTGGTTTGTAGGGAGCGGGGAGAGAGGTACACGGGACCCAGTCTCTCCCTAGGCCTGTCTTGTCATCATCAAAGGCTGAATAAATGAACAAACCCTCGAAAGAGCGAGATACATCCACTCGGCACCTCACTGATCTTTCCTGCTTGGGAAGGGGCCATGTCTACAGAAAAGGCAGGTGAACTCAGGTTGAGGAGGGCAAGTGGGGAGGTGAATTCCCACCCTGGAGCCTAGACCAGCCTTCCAAGCCACAGCCCTTAGCTGTTCCGAAGAAAGAAAAGGCTTTTGTTACAAGAGCCCTCTTTAATGGGAAAGAAATGCAGTCTTGTCAAAAGCCCAGGGTGGTAACACTTCCCTAATACAATACATGCTGGTGACAACGTCTAATGAAGACTTTTATGATAGGAGCGTAATTGTAAAAAAAAAAAAAAATGATTACAAAATTGGTTTCAATGCTTTGTGGTCCAAGAGTTCATTTGTGTCCTCATTCATGCACTAAATAAGCCCCTAATTAATCTTGAACCTTGGAGAAAGGAGACTAGATTGCCATTTTCTCCATGAGGATGCACTTCACATTTTGGAAAGTTTGAAGAGGCTCTTAAGCATTTTCCTTATAGCGGTATTTTATCAGCATTTCAGAGAGGCTTCATTAGGCTGCCGAGGCTGATAATTGCATTACCATATTTTTAAGCCTCCTAGGTGCAGGGCGGTTTCATCTTTCTCCAAATTCTGCCATTAATCTGCTGGCTGGACGGGTCAGAGCCTGGGCACTCATCCTGCATCCTGGAGGAAAGGAAGCTAAGCCCAGGGCTGATGCCAGCCCCTGACCAGAGGGAGAGGCCACCCTCACACCAGCGAGCAGCCAAGCTCCACACTGCTTTCTCTTTTAGCAGCAATTTTAGCTTCAAATGTCAGTGTGATGTCATTCTTCCTCGGAAGGCGTAAAAACCTCCAACTTTCCAGCCAAGGGAAAAAACCAAAAGGAACATGTGTATGTGTGCGTATCTATGGGCGCATAGATAAATATGTATGCAGAAAATGAATATATGTATATGTGTGCATAGGCAGATACGATTATATGTATACAGGAATATGTATGTATACATAAATAGAGATGATATGTGTATATATAGATTAAAATATGTACAGATATGAATATATACATGTGTTTATGGATGGATATGAATTTTCATATATATGAATATATGTGTGTACATAAATAGCTATGACTATATGGATGTATATAGATAGATAAAATATGGACAGATATGAATATATGCATATATGTGCATAGATATGAATATATTTGCATATAAATGAATACATGTAGATATGAATGTATGTATGCATGCATACATACATACACGAATAAATAAATATGTGTATGTAGCACATAGATATATATGAATATAGATATACGAATATGTGTATGTAAATAGATATAAATGCATGTGTGTCTATACGTGTACAGACAGATGTAAATGTGTGTGTGTGTGTGTATGAATCCATGACCGTGTGTGTGAAGACAGATCTGAGTGTGCGTGCATGTGCAATGAGCCAAGATGTTTAGGTTTTATCTGGATATTTCCCCTCTACTTAAAGAAAATTTCAGTGGAAAACTCATTCCCAAACATTCGCAGCTGGGCAGATAAAGGCTGGCACCCCACCCAGGGTTCCGTGTACCTTTCTTTCTTTAATTCTCATTTCTGGAGCAGAGCTGCCTGGTATTTCCCTCATTTTACAGAGCAGGAAATGGATTCTCAGAGATCCTAAAGCACAGGTCTCTGGTGGGGGCCTCAGAATTTCCAGCAGGGCCTGCAGACTCAGAAGCTGGCGCACTTACTGGTTGAAGATCCGGCTCAGGGGTCAGGAGCCCAGGAGAGGAACAGCCCTGGGTCCAAACCCCAGCTCTGTATCCCCAAACAGTGTCTTCACTCCTCTGAGTGTCCACTCCCATCTATAAAATGGGGTGATGCTGTCCACCCTGCAGAAGTAAAAGGATGAAATGAGATCAGATAGGTGCAGCCATAAACCCTGGCCCGGCCACACACCGCTCACACCGGTGCAGGCCTGAGTGGACAGCCAGATGCCGGAGGACAAGAAGCCAACCAGGCAGAGAGGAGCCCTGCAGGAAGGAGTGTGTCAGCTGAGCCAGAAAGCGCTCGGAGTGCTGGAGGAGCAGCAAGCGGGCAGTGGGCTCAGGTAGCGGCGTGGTGAGCGATGTCCTCACAGGGTCCGCGCTCCGAAGGTGGGGGCTTCACCCGTACCGTGCTGTGTGCTCTACAGCAAGAGTGCCCGGCAATGACCGCTCCCCCCATGAGCCAGGCGGCCTCCCAGGACAGCCGAGTCCTCTGCCTCAGGGTGGCCTCCCAGCCAGCAAGCATGTGTGGCTGATTCCTGAAACAGCTGGGCCACAGAGAAGCCACATGTGTTCCCAAACCCCACACCCCATCCCTTCTCAGGGCAGAGAACCTTCACCTACACGCCATGCCCTGAAAACGGTCTCCTCTTCTACCAGGAAACTCCTTTCCATTCTGGTTCTTCTTCCGGCTGATCTCGCTAGAAACTCAGGCACAGAGAGAGCAGATCATAGGAGACAGCTCAGAGCTGTTTCTATCCCAGGCAGTCGGTTCTCTCTCCCTCTCTCTGCCCGCTACACATATGCAGGCAAGGACCAGCCACAACACAAAAACCTATTTCCACACCTGCGAACCTCACTCCTCCAGATCTTCACCACCAACGTGAAGCTAACACACTAACAAATGGCTACAAAATGCTTGCGATATGGGTTTATGTGTAAAACACACCCGTCGACACACACATAGACATTTATCCATTTTGGCCAATGAACGGGGGCAGGTATTGTCCCTGGGGTGTAGATTTTTGTCCCATTTAATGGAAAGCAACTCCAGGCTCTGTGACTAACCAGGTAACCGCTGCGGCTTTGCTGCGGGGACGTGTGATGCCCGCAGTGGTCCCACCCTCTGAAGGCACTTTGTTTCTCACCAAGGGACACTTTTTGCATTTAACTCTTGGCAGCACCCCCCGCCCACGACCTGAAAGCAGGGACTGTGTCATGCGTCTTGGTATCCCCAGGACCCAGCCCAGTAGGTTGGTAGAAAGTAAGGTGTCGGAAAGAATCGCAGGGTTCTGCAACAGCGGTGCTCTTTTCTGGGCCTCCAACTTAACTCCAGCCCTCTGCTGGGAAGCCCCGCCCCGCGGCACACTCACCTGGAGACGCAGCCCCCAACCCGACACCTTGATGGCTCCGTCTGGCAAAATTTCAAAACAGAAAAGTAGGGAGTGAGCGGGGTGGCCAACTTTTTCTCTGAGTAAGTACAACTTTTAAAGCATTTGCCATCCAACAGCTCCGTCAGTTTATGTAACAAAGGACCTTCTAACACCAAAAGATAGAAAGGATCTCAGAATAGAGGGCAGGTCTATAAAGGGACTGCGAAATCTAGCTCTACCAAACACTCACCACTCCGTCCATTTCTCTTCTCTCCATTTTCCATCTGGCCACATCCAGCATCAGAGGCTGGACCAGGGTTTAGGAGGATGGCCCTGGCTTAGTGGGGGACGGGGCCAGGCCAGAAAGGCAGGAGGGAAGTGGGGACTCACAGTCCGTGGGAGAGGTTGGGTTCTGAAATGGAGGCGACCTTGGGAAGGAGACGCAGGGGGTCCTGACCAGGAAGCCCACCGAGGAGAAAGCTGAACTCAAGAGCTGGGAGGCAGCCACGCTTGGAAGGGATCTCACCTGGAAAGCTGAGCGGAAAACGGGAAGTCTTAAAGATCCCCTGCGGACATTGAGACTCTTTCAGCCTCTCAGTTAAAGAACCGAAGACAAATTGTGTTCAAGGCTGGCTCTCAGTCAAAGCTCTAATTTTACACCGACATGGTCTTCATTTTCCAAGAGCGTGTCCTGTGAAGCCAGGGCCAAAGCGGACAGAAGACCCCACATCCTTGGCCACCTCCCCATCTCCTCCCCAACACGATCACAGCATGGGAAAGCATCAAATTGACAAGCCTAGTCAGCCAGCCCACCTCCCACCCCTACCATCCAGCCATTGTACCTCTACATACAGTTGTCCAGTGCCTTCTCTGTGCCAGGAACAGACAGTTCTCTTCCACCAAAGGTCCCCAGCCAGCGGTCTTGAGATGGGAGGAAAGAGGAACTTGTCTTCAAGTTTTCTCCCCGCCTCTAGCCTCCCGCCT